TAGTCTTGGAAGTACTCCAATTCTTTCTGATCCTTTTCTCCTTGCCTCTCAGGAATTTACATTTTTTGAATGAAATTAAATTTTCTTTATATTATTAGAGGTGCTTTTAAGTTGAAGTCTATAAATCCAAATATGCCCTTTGATTTCCATTTTCATGAGGAATAATTCAGGTCCAAAAAGGAGATATAGAAAACCTATACACTGGAGACCTAAAACCAGGCATGAAACTTTCCAATCCAAACCATCTCAATTATATTGTATGTAAAGGATCACCAAAAATCACAATAAATATTTAAGAGACAAGTATCGGATCTCTGAATATGACAGAGGGAGACTGTTGCAGACCCTGGGATGCCTGCCAGGAGCAGGCAAACTGTGAACAAAGGCTTCAGGGCCATTGACTCCCACCCTCAGGGTTGCAAGTCCTTGCCCTTTCTTGGTTTGAGGAAGTGTGTGTTCTAGCTGTTTCTCCTGGGGCTTTAAGTGAAGGGAGGCTTTGGTGGAAAAGATAGATTGAAGTAGAATGAGGAAAGGTGTGTGCTGTTTGCACTTTTTGGCACAGTGGGCATAGACCAATATTACACAAGCATTTGAGAAGTATAGCAGAATCGTGCCATCAGCCATCTCTCTGTCTCCTTAATTATTATCCCATTGGCCCACAGAAGTCTTACTTGTGCTCTGTACGACTGTGGCAGAAGGCAAAGGTTTATTCCACAGCTTAATGGATAAGGTCTGAGAAGACAAGTCAGAGGTCCCCTAGATATGTAGCCTAAAGCTACTGAGAGGAACTGTTAGGATCAGGGAAGAGGTAAGGATTCTAAAGAGATTTTCACATGCAAAATGAGAAGACAAAAGCAGACTGGTTTGTAAATGATTAAGATTCACATCAACATAGCCTAGCCTAAACTTCACTCTTCTACTCACCTGCATTCATTCTGACCCCCAAACCACTCTCTTTGTAGGAAAATCAGGGAAATGTGCCATGCTCTTAAGAATCCCTGTTAGGAAACTTTTCACTAGTTACCTGAAGAAATTATTAAAGGAAATCAAAGTAGAGCACAGCAAATGCTCACAGTGACCAAACTCTGAGTTGAAGCCTCAGGATGAACAGACAAAGAAAAAACATAAAACCCTTAAATGAAAAGCAAAATTCAGAAACAGCCAAAAACTCATTTTCATTTAATAGATAGATTGGGGATTTTCTGGAAAAAGTAATACTTTGATTTTGCAAAATTTAAATCAACACAAGGATTATGATGCATATCCACATAACCATCTTCTTATTCTATGCCAGTGTGTAAAATTACACCAATGGAAAATGACCCGTTATAAGTTCAGTGTATATGAGTACGTTTGTAAGATGAGAGGGGAGGTATTAACCAATCTAAAGCAAAACAGAGATATAATTTACACTCAACAGAACACAGGCATAGAACAAAAAGAAAGGTATGAGAAACACAGTCTCATAACTTCAATTTCATTATTAGAACTAAGTACCAAAAAGTCATTGCATCCAATTCTCCCATATATATCCATTTTCTGGTTGGTCTTACAATATTTTACAAAGGAAGCAGTGGTTTTGAAGAAGAAACTCACCTTAGCTCCCACAGCAGGGAGAGAAAAGTCCCAATGCATCCAAGCACTCTTCTGACCAGAGGTGAAGCAAGGTGGCGCCGAGCATTATGGGAATTGTAGTCTCCTTGGAGGGCTTTTGGTTTGAAAGTCCTAAGTTGTTTTTGTTTTTGGAGGGCGTAAGTGGCTCAGAGATCCTTTTGGGCATGCGTCTCCCCGCCCACCTTGGGCATATTAAGTTGGCCCCTGCTGGATTCTTTCCCTTTGCCTTGCTGCTGGAAGTGCCCTGAAGTAAAGTTCGGCCTGCCATAGGTGGGAGCCAGGAGGCAGGCGCCCACCTCTGCGCAGTGGAGCTTGAGAGCTTTAACTTGAAGGAATCTCAAGCTTTGGAACTGATGTTAGGTAGGAACTGTGGGATTGCTGCTGGAGTCTATCCTCCATGGATTTCTTTTTCTGGTTCTGTTTTTTTTGGTCATTGGTGGGGCTTGAACTCTGGGTCTGCAAGCAATGTTCCTCACAGATTCATTTCTGAATACGTCATTTGTCTTGTATCCCAGCCATGCTTCCAGAATCTTCTGCTCATTGTCAGCAGCAAGACAGAATGAATGGATCTCTGGTGAGTTGTTTTTTTTATTTCTCATTTGGTTTTATTCCATTATATGAACCTAAAGATGTTCAAGAATTTAAAACAATTCCAACCACACAGATTCAGCCTCAGGAAAATTCATATGGCTTATAGATTAGCAGATTAAGATTGCTTGTAGGTTTAGCAGATTAAATGGTTATATTCTTTCTAAGTTGAATGCAGATTGGCTTCAGAATGTCTAGGTTTCATCTTCTCATAAAATGTCATCAAATCTGTTATTTGATGTAATTACACTAAGCAGGTTTCTTCTCATGGAAGGTGAAGGATAGCTTGCAAACAGATCACATCCTCATGAGCAACATTAAACTATTTTAATGAAATTTTCTTCGAATTGCTGAAATAGTGTTATGGACAGACACACATTCATGTGTTGTTATGGAATGATTAACCTATATGTACTTAAATTACTCTCCATATATAGTACTTGGTCGACTTCATGTTCTTCGTCTTACTTGAAACTTAGGATATTTTTGTTGCTAAACTTTATGGTCTTTCTACAAATTCCTGTTTGTTTTCTAAAGTATCCTCACAAAATTTCTTTCCTCTATTTTCTCTCTCTATTTTTGATTTTCTACTCACTAGTGTTGGTTATTTTTCTCTTTCTCTCTCTTTGTATCTATCTTTCTATCATTTTTTTCTTACTTTTCTCATTCCCTCTTTCCTCCATATGTGTCTCAGTTGTTTCTTTTCTTCAAATGATCTATCTGGGAACTATTTTTTCGTAGTGATCAGTTTTACTTTGCTGACATGGCTCTTAGGTTTGACATTTTTCTTACCCATTGTATAGGAAAATTGTTCCCTAGAGAGTTCTACAGGATTCCAGAAACAAAATTAGAAAATCACAAAAACATAAACAGATAGACTTAGGGAAAACCAGGGTTCGGAAGGCTCTCTGGCACTTGGTCCCTTGGTGCCAGCAAGCAAGCATAGTTCCTTGAGTGCACACAGGGAAGATTATCATTGATAACATGCAAAAATGAGGTATCTATATTAGTAGTACAATCAGAGCCACAACAGGTTGTGAGGAAAACATGTTTCCTAATCTCCTGAGACAGAAGACTGGCTCCCAGATAAAATGCAGACATGAAGTTCACCTTACCTAGCCTTGAAGGTGAACAGCAGCTCAGTTTCAGATGCTATCTTTCTATCTTTCCAACAGTAAGGAAAAGGCCTGCCCTCCAGTCTCTTAACCCTCTCCAGAATTCTCTTTTAACCCTTCTGTGGCCAGCTCTCAGTGTTCTCATTGCGGTCAGGCTGGAATTCCAACCTCTCAAACCTTTTCCCCCTTCAGCTCAACTTCAGAGTTCCCCACAGAAAAGTATTTTCTTCGCCCAACTTATAAACTACAAGAAAATCAGTTTTCTCCTGATTCTGTTATCTTTGGTCTAACTTCATTTGATGTGGTATTTGTTTTGTCTTTCCTTTCCACTACTTTTGAATATTTTAGTTCACTGCCAGTATATGATAGGAACTGGATTTGATAAAAAAAAATACAGTGACAAGGTGTTCTTTATTAGAAATATCACTTGTTGCAAAATCTCACAGATTTCTCAGGAAATGATTTGGATCTCTGAGGAATTTTGCGATTAACTAACACAAGTGGAAATATATCCTTAGGGATCTACTGGAGAAATGACTCAGAAATATGTGACACATTGGAGCATTTGTTCATATTCATCATTTTTGTCATATTGAGTATTCCTTGAGCTTGTATACATTTTCCTCCACCTTCCATGAAGTCTATTAAAATGAAAATATTGTAAAAAATATTTTATTCCCTTCCCACATATATTTTGTATTGTAGAATATAGGCAAAGTTTACAAAACTTCATGGTAGCAGTTCCTTTTTACATAGGATGGAAATATCAGGGTATCTGTGACCACTTTTCAATATTTAGTATTTAAACCAAACATGGTTAACCTAGGATATTTTTATGTGTGAACTCAATTAAATCTTATATGGGCAAAATAAATCATTAGCTACTTTCTGGAGTACTGTTAGTATTTTTGAATATTCATGTGGACACTGCTTCTCATAGGTCTAGTAATATTCTATGTTCTGTATTCCATGTCATATCCTGAATGTGTTCTGCTTGCTTATGAGAGTACCTGTTAATAGAAAGTCAAAATAGGACTTAGGGTGAAGCAGTATATGTAAATGCAGAAAAAGTATTTGTTTAATTCATTGTTACCCTTATATGTACTAAAATTTTATCAAAAAATGATAATACAATTTTTCAGACACCTCCTTAGACTTATTGTTGTCATGCCAGATTATTGTCTCCTTAGAGTTTTTATCTTGTCTCTATTGCTAGCAGCAGAAATGTGTTTGCATGCAATAGGGAAACTGTAATTTTTTATTGGTCTTGGGGCTTGAATTCTGGGCCTGGTTCTTGTCCCTCAGCTCTTCAGGTCAAGGTGAGTGCTCTACCACTTGAGTGACAGTGCTACTTTATGTTTTCTGGTTGTTTATTGGAGATAAGTGTCTCATGAACTTTCCTGCCTGGGCTGGCCTTGAACCTAGATCCTCAGACCTCAGCCTCCTCAATAGCTAGGAGGATAAGCCACCAGTGCCCTGCCAATCTATGTGTTTTAATGACCAGGTTTATATTGTCCAATATTTCTAATTTGCTATTTAATTTTGCCAGTGAATAGATAACACAGCAAGCTGCAAACATTTAATGTAAGACAAAAGCATACCTGCAGCATAATGAAATTCCTGATTGGAATTCTCATGACCCAGGTCTAATTTCTTGATGGAAATGTGCCATTACAGAAGCTGATGTCATTTGATGATGTGGCTGTGTGCTTCACATGGAAGGAGTGGCAGGATCTGGATCCTGGTCAGCGGACCCTTTACAGAGATGTAATGCTGGAGACCTATAGCAACCTAATGTCCTTGGGTGAGCAAAGGTCACTTTTTCTTGGAAGATCAAGTGCTTTTATTTTAGTAGACATTTGACTGTTTATGTTATCTACGTATAAGATTCCAGTCCATTCCCAGCTAAAAAACTGCTAGTATAAAAGCCAGCCAAATTCAGGTCTGGGAGCTTGGTGTTGTTTGCCTTGCACTACTGCAGAAACCACAACTCCATTTTGGCTTTAGTTTTGGGGTATATTCTGGGTTTCCATGCCCATGTTGGTTTCAAGCCTGCCACTTAAGATCTCATCTCGTCAATGAAGGATTAAAGTTGTAAGCCTTTGAACCATAACATTTTCTAAAAACAAACAAACAAACAAAAAAATTAAAAAAGATTCCAGTCCATGGGAAGTGTCATTTCTTTGTAAGGGAAACTTCAACTTCATTATATGTAACTCAAGAGTTAATTTTATTTTCAGTCTTTAAGATTTCTAATCAATTTTGGACAAAAGTTCTAAACTATGATCCAATAATAGGAGATTGACTTCTCAGACTTGGGATAGTTATTATAGGTGGATCTACAGTCTAGATAAAATATACATTACTACTGACAGTATGATCTGGAAATCAGTAGGTGAAAGTGTGTATTTGTAAGCCAAACTTGACACAGAGTTTAGTGCATCAAGATTGGAATTCTAGATACTGTGGAGGCTGAAATCTGAAGATTTTGGTTTGAAGCCAGCAACTGTGGAAAAGTGACCATGAAACTCTTATCTCCAATTAACCATTCAAAAACTAGAATCGTAGGCAAGACTCAAACTAGGAGAATGCTAGCTTTGAGCAAAAGAGCTGAGTTCAAGCCACACAATGGACACAATAAACTCAAAGCTGGGGGAAACTCCACCATGGAGTTATTAAGAATAGAGAAACCATGGGCTGGGAAGATGGCTCAGGGGTAGACCAATTCCCTTGCATGCTTGAGGCCCTGTGTTCGATATCTCAGCACCACATAAGCAGGGAAATAAAGCTAGAATTGGTGTTGTGGCTCAAGTGATAGAGTGCTAGACTTGTGCTTAAGAGCTGAGAGACAGCTCCCAGGCCCAGAGTTCACGCCCCACAACTCGACGGCCCCCCACAAAAACAATTGAGAAACCAGATTTAGGACCAACCTTGTGAACAGGATGTCTGCGACCTTCCATTAATGATGACCCAGCAAGAGCAATTGTTCTCCACTATTTCTTATTCACAGGGCACTGTGTTCCTAAACCTGAATTGATTGTGAAGCTGGAGCAAGGTGCAGAACCATGGATAAGAGAAACCTCAGACAAGAATTTTACAGGTTGGTTAAAGCATCTTGAATGGTGATGATGGATCCAGAGCCCAGTGGGTCTGTTTATCTTGAGCGGTACGGAGCAATAGTATTCCTAGTGCCCCTGAGTCATGTATGGCAGAGAACTAGTTGATCCTTTGTCTCAAGGAATTGTCAATCCAGAATTCACGTGGAGACACACTGAATTTAGTGTGCCAGTGTACGCAGTGTTAGCAATTCCCTTTTTCTGTAGAGAAGTCATTCATAAAGAGAAAAAGAGAATAAGAAATGTAGAAAGGAGATCTCATTTTCTTTTAAACTAGTATTATGCAGGTAGGAGGAAAATAGGAGTATGCTAGGGCTGCTATCCTCTGATGGGGACAATTTCTTATCAGTGGTGCTGGGCATAGAGGGCAATTCAGAATGGAAGCATGAAGAGTATGGAGATGAATAATTTCAGGAAATATTTCCTGTGAAAACATATAATAATCTAAAATACAGAAAAACATTATTTTGCACTTTAAAATGTCAGTACTACTTTCTTAATTACTACATTGAAGAGAAATGTATATATTCTGCATAAAGCAATGTTTTGATATTTGAAAATCTAGTAACAAAATGTGAGGAAATATCGTTATCGTAAGGAATTTGTGGGTCTCATTTATGCTTTTGTCTATTTTTCTATTATTCATTTTAGATGTCCCAGAAATGGAGGATGTGATTAGCACCTGTCAGGAAATTCACAATAAATATCTCTCTGAAGTAGCAGTCATGAATAGTAACCCAGGGGAGGAAAAAGTGAGACTGATAAAAAGTTTTCATTTGAGCTCCATACAGAAGTCAGAACTGATTAAGAATAATGGGAACTCCTTAGGGATGAGGATAGAAAAGGTCACTGGGTGGCAGAAAATGGGTGTTTTCAGTGAACCTGGTAAGATGTGTGCTGCCTATAGTCCTCATGTGTCTTCTGTAGTTGAAGAATATAAACAATGTGAAAAGTCTTTCACTGAGAAGACACACACTGTTGTCCCTCAGAGAACACACACAACAGAGAAACCTCATGAATGTAATGTGTGTGGAAAGTCTTTCACCAAGAAATCAAAGCTTACTGTCCACCAGAGAACACACACAAAAGAGAAACCTTTTCAATGCAACATTTGTGCAAAATCTTTCACCTGCAAGGCATATCTTACTAGACACCAGAGAACACACACTGGAAAGAAAATTTATGAATGTAACTTATGTGGAAAGTCCTTCTCCTGGAAGTCAACTCTCACTGTCCATCAGATAACACACACAGGAAATAAACCTTTTGAATGTAACGTGTGTGGAAAGTATTTCATCCAGAAATCAAAGCTTACTGTTCACCTGAGAACACACACAAAAGAGAAACCTTTTGAATGTAACATTTGTGGAATGTCTTTCTCCTGCAAGGCATATCTTACTAGCCACCAGAGAACACAAAAAGGAGAGAAACCTTATGAATGTAACATGTGTGGAAAGTCTTTCTCCTGCAAGGCATATCTTACTAGCCACCAGAGAACACAAAAAGGAGAGAAACCTTATGAATGTAACATGTGTGGAAAGTCTTTCACCATGAAATCAAAGCTTACTGTCCACCACAGAACACACACAGGAGAGAGACCTTATGAATGTAACCTGTGTGGAAAGTGTTTCACCCAGAAATCAAATCTTACTGTCCACCAGAGAACACACACAGGAGAGAAAATTTATGAATGTAACTTGTGTGGAAAGTCCTTTACCTGGAAGTCAACCCTCACTGTCCATCAGATAACACACACAGGAAAGAAACCTTATGAATGTAATGTGTGTGGAAAGTCTTTCACCAAGAAATCAAAGCTTACTGTCCACCAGAGAACACACACAAAAGAGAAACCTTTTCAATGCAACATTTGTGCAAAATCTTTCACCTGCAAGGCATATCTTACTAGACACCAGAGAACACACACTGGAAAGAAAATTTATGAATGTAACTTATGTGGAAAGTCCTTCTCCTGGAAGTCAACTCTCACTGTCCATCAGATAACACACACAGGAAAGAAACTTTTTGAATGTAATGTGTGTGGAAAGTATTTCATCCATAAATCAAAGCTTACTGTTCACCTGATAACACACACAAAAGAGAAACCTTTTGAATGTAACATTTGTGGAATGTCTTTCTCCTGCAAGGCATATCTTACTAGCCACCAGAGAACACACAAAGGAGAGAAACCTTATGAATGTAACATGTGTGGAAAGTCTTTCGCCAGGATGGCATACCTTACTGTCCACCAGAGAACACATACTAGAGAGAAACCTTATGAATGTAACATGTGTGGAAAGTCTTTCACCAAGAAATCAAAGCTTACTGTCCACCACAGAACACACACAGGAGAGAGACCTTATGAATGTAACCTGTGTGGAAAGTGTTTCACCCAGAAATCAAGTCTTACTGTCCACCAGAGAACACACACAAAGAGAAACTTATTGAATGTAAGATTTGTGGAAAGTTTTTCACCCACAAGGAATATCTTACTACCCACCAGAGAACACACACAGTAGAGAAAATTTATGAATGTAACTTGTGTGGAAAGTCCTTTACCTGGAAATCAACCCTCACTGTCCATCAGATAACACACACAGGAAAGAAACCTTATGAATGTAATGTGTGTGGAAAGTCTTTCACCAAGAAATCAAAGCTTACTGTACACCAGAGAACACACACAAAAGAGAAACCTTTTCAATGCAACATTTGTGGAAAATCTTTCACCTGCAAGGCATATCTTACTAGACACCAGAGAACACACACTGGAAAGAAAATTTATGAATGTAACTTATGTGGAAAGTCCTTCTCCTGGAAGTCAACTCTCACTGTCCATCAGATAACACACACAGGAAAGAAACCTTTTGAATGTAACGTGTGTGGAAAGTATTTCATCCAGAAATCAAAGCTTACTGTTCACCTGAGAACACACACAAAAGAGAAACCTTTTGAATGTAACATTTGTGGAATATCTTTCTCCTGCAAGGCATATCTTACTAGCCACCAGACAACACACAAAGGAGAGAAACCATATGAATGTAACATGTGTGGAAAGTCTTTCGCCAGGATGGCATATATTAATGTCCACTGGAGAACACATACTAGAGAGAAACCTTATGAATGTAACATGTGTGGAAAGTCTTTCACTAAGAAATCAAAGCTTACTGTCCACCAGAGAACACACACAAAAGAGAAACCTTTTCAATGCAACATTTGTGGAAAATCTTTCACCTGCAAGGCATATCTTACTAGCCACCAGAGAATACACACAGGAGAGAAACTTCATGAATGTAATGTGTGTGGAAAGTCTTTCACCCAAAAGGGTAACCTTACTGCCCACCACAGAACACACACAGGAGAGAGACCTTATGAATGTAACCTGTGTGGAAAGTGTTTCATCAAGAAATCAAAGCTTACTTGCCACCAGAGAACACACACAGGAGAGAAACCTTATGAATGTAACATGTATGGAAAGTCTTTCACCAAGAAGTCATACCTTACTTGCCACCAGACAACACACACAAGAGAGAAACCTTATTAATGTAACATGTGTGGAAAGGCTTTCACCTGGAAGTAAAACTTCACTGTCCATCAGGAAACACACATGAAAGAAACCTTATGAATGTCATATGTGTGGAAAGATTTTCAGCTAGAAGCTCCACCTTACTGTCCACCAGAGAGCACACACAGGAGAGAAATTTTATGAATGTAACCTATGTGGAAATTCTTTCACCCAGAACATACACCTTTCTGTCCATCAGAAAAAAACCCACCAGAGAGAAATGTTATGTATGTAGTAGGCATGGAAATTCTTTCATCTGGAAGGCAAACCTTAACATCCATCACAGAACACAAGGAGAGAAACCTTATGAATGCAACCAGTGTGGAAAGACCTGGAGTTCACAGCTTAACAGACATAAGTTGATTCACACAAATGAAATAACTTAGGATTGTACCAAATGGGGAAAGTCTTTGATCTGTAAGAAAATTGAAATTGCAATACAGAACCAATACAGGATAGAGACCTTATGATATAGCAGATGTGGAGTCCTCCAACTACAAGACACAGCTCAGAGTATATCACAGAACACCCAAAACACACAGAAACACAGACACATACTCTCACACACAAAGAGGAGAGAAATCATATGTAGGAAAAAATGGAAAGGTTTTCAAGAAAAAGTCCTAACTCAGTTTCCATCAGAGAACAGACACAGATGAGAAAATACAAATATATCAAATGTGGAAAGTCCTTTACTAAGTATTCATAGATCCAAGTTCATATAACACCGAGCAGAGAAATCTTAAAAATATTACAAATGTGGAAGGTCTTTGACCTGAAAGGAATACCTCAGTGTTTATCAGAGAACTGACTCACATAGGAGAAAAGAAAGTAGTGCATAGAACATATGTGAAATGACTTTCAATCAGAACTGAGTCCTCAGCATATGTGAGATCATACACAGGAGAGAAATTATGAGTATAGAAAACATTTTGCCAGAATTCTTATTTGTACAGGTATCAGAGACCTGGACACATGACAGAATTTCTGTAAATATAAACATGAGAGGAAGTCTTTCAACCAGAAGCCAACCTTCAGCAATTATTAAAATATTCACCCAGGAAAGAAACCCAATGTAGGAAAATCTTTGTCAGAAAACCTCTGTAAATTATACAGAGAAATTCTTCATGGCAGAGGTCAGTTAGGGGTGATGGAAACCATTCTTCACTCTTCAGCTCTCTTTGAGCCAACATTTGTCATTATGTTGAGTGGGGATGGTGTCCTTCAATGTTATCCAAAGCATGTAGAAACAACCAGTCTCGACAAATCATTAAGAAATTGAAATAATTCACTTGTGTCTTTTATACTAAGGAATGGTGTGTCAAGGTAATTTGATAAACTCTTCTTAGAAATATGAGTTCTAGCCCTTTGGGACTGGATTCAGATCATCTCCAACATGCTTATGGGAACAATAGATGAGTAAATACTGTTATGATTGGAGGCAAGAACATGAGAACAACCATATTTCTACTGCTCCCTTAAATCTCCCTCTGTATGTGTGATCCATGCGTTATAGTACAAATGACTTACTTATTCCAGTTCAGTTTTTTTTTTTTTTTTTGTCGGTAGTGGGGCTTGAACTCTGGGCCTGGGCGCTGTCCCTCAGCTCTTCAGTTCAAGGCGAGCGCTCTACCACTTGAGCTACAGTGCCACTTCCGGTTTTCTGGTGGTTTATTGGAGGTAGGAGTCTCATGGTCTCTCCTGCCCGGGCTGGCTTTGAACCGCGATCCTCAGATCTCAGCCTCCTGAGTAGCTAGGATTACAGGCGTGAGCCACCAGCACCCGGCTCAGTTCAGTTTTTGAATGGAAGATCTAAAGGAAGATATTAGTCCTTATTGCAGTACATAAATAGTAGTAATGTCTTTCTCAGAGGGGTAACAATGCTCAAAAGGAAATGTATTCATGACCTAACTCATAATGGTATAACCAATCTGTACAGTATGTTTACAATAAAATATATATTTAAAAATATGATAGATTAATAAAGACTAGAATCTGCATTGTACCTTGGGGGAGAACCCCAAAGTGTCTTCAGTGCTTGCTCTTTTCTTTAATTAATCATTGGTGATGAGCAACTTGTGATTGATTCACTCTTAGCCTATTTAGTTGTTCTGCTGAGCAAGCTATTACAAAACACCAGTGTGGATGATGTGTCGCACCTGTGTTATCTCATAGAGGGCCAAAGTGGATAGGATATTAGGGGAAATAATTGAGCACACAAAGATATTGATCAACCTCTCACAAAAATTGAAGTTAACAAAAAAATAAAACCATCTGCCACTTGAGTTACAGCATCACTTCTAGGCCCTGAGAGGAGGAAGGAAAGAAGGAAGGATAGAAAGAAGGAAAGAAAGAAGGAAGGAAGGAAGGCAGGAAGGAGTGATGTGAGAGAGGGAAAGAGGAAGGGAAGGAATGAGGAAGAAGGAAGAAATAAACTATTCAAAAGAAGAATGTTTAATTTTTGGTGAATGTGAGAATTATTTTTTCAGAGGTGGGGCTCAAGAAAAATGGCTTTTACAAAAGTTAATTCTTGAACTGTTTACAAAACTATAAGGAGGCTGTAACATTTTATAAATTGACTTAATATTTCAAGAATATTAAGTAAGGAGGTCAGGTGTGGCTGGTGCCCTATTGGGCACATGGTGGATGGTGGGGTCTGGCATCTTGTCTTCATGCAGGGGCAAGGAATACCTCCTTCATCACTTGCCACGCAACTGATAGGTGTGGCTGGTTCCCTGGAAGCAGGGGTGAGAATTTGGTTGATATGTTACTCAATCTCTTAGTCCAGTGACTGGGACTGGAATTTCCTGTGGACCTGCCTCCTGCTTAGGCCCTATTTAGGCTGGACCAGCAGTGGCACTAGATGCTATGCTACATGTCTCTGTGATCATGTCCTGTGTCCTGTCTCCTGGCTTTTCTCTGGTCATCATAGTGTGCCAATTCAGCACTCTTTTCCTGCTGATTGGTTTCTTGGTGTTGTTTTAATTCTTTTTATTTCTTTTCCTTTCTGTCCTGTTAGCAAGCTGTCTATTTGTGGACTGCAAGTCCTTGTTACAACAGGCTGCTTGCAGACTGCTAGCTGTGTAATAAACACTGCAGTATTCCATCTTCCATAATGTGGCTTCCAACAAATGTACTGTCTTCTTTTACAGAAACACAAAGGTTGACCTAAATTTAGAATTTCTAGAGCCAAGGTAGATGCCACTGTATAGTTATGTAATTAAAGATATCCATGAGGCATTCAGAAAAAATGTCTGTTACATCAGAAAGTGCTTAATTAGTAAACCAAGACCAAGACTCCATATGCTATATAAGCCAGTCATTCTACATATGTCCACAGCTGTTTTGTTACATGAAGGGCTCTATTTTCACACTTTCATGAAGAAATGTTTTTGTGCCAATATGAGGTCTTCAACTCAGGAACTGAGTTGAAGCCAACGAGAGCTCCTAGGAATCTAAAAAGCTAGGAATCAAAGCATGAGCCCTGTGGGCTGTTCTGAAGAAATCTCTCTCTGCGAATAAGAGGTTTCATTTAGTGCTTCACCTCAGGCTTCCTGTGCCTTCAACAATTTTAATTGTTCAAAGAGAATCCTTAAATCCTGGCCAGGATTCCATTTACAAGATAAGGACGGTGGACTTCACATTGCCAGATTTAGCTAGGTTGCTAGCTTACCCCCTCCCCTCACACTGTTCACCCATCTGCTTATCTACTGAGGCCTAGTAAAGAAGGAAAAATAGGGGGATTAGGAGGCCCTTGGCCTTTCTACTTGTACCATACACACACACATACACAAACACCAGCTATTTGGATATAGTTCATTGTCCCATTTTTACAAACTGGATGCTTTCCGATAAAGGATGGTTCATGGACCAGAGTCCCTTCTACCTAGGCCTGTCATATAGCTGTCATTAAAACTCATGAACCAACATACCACATTCAAAGTAGCCCTGATGATA